TATCAGTCAAGATTTGTTGTCTTTGCAAACCTTGAAGGATTTTATAAAATGTACTCAGATCATGAAATCTATTCTTTATAGTATTCAAGATGTAGCTAGCGACATTTCCTCATTTACAAATTGTGATGAAATTGATTATTTGGTACTCAACCAAAGTCTACACCCATTGAAAATATTATTTAAGATAATTGTCATGATCATACCAAAATACAGAAAAAAAATTCAAATCTGAATCCATAGAAAGACAAGGCAAGTTGTTGACCCAATATCATTTGAGAAATAACATTTAGTCTGATAATTGCTGGAACTAGTAATACCTGGACAAGAGAACTTACAAATTATAGCATAGCTATTGCTGATTGTTGTTGCTGAAAAGAAAAGAAAAGAGCAAAGCACTAAGCTTCTAAATCAAATAGAACAGAAATAAAAAATAAAAAGCATTCCCTACATGCAGAGTTATTTATGCAGAGTTATTTAGACAGGTATGCTAAATAAGAGAATGAGCAGCAGGCCATATTGCACATATGGTTAGGAAGTGCTTTTTTACTAGCATAAGAGACGTATGCACCATTGGAACAAACATGACATTTCAATTTTGGTACAAACAATAATACTGCTTTAGTAAAGTTTTTTAAATTGCGTAAAGTTTCAATAAGCAGTAAGACTTAAATACATGTTTCGCTTATGATAACATGCTGATCTTGTGAGTATCCTGGGTGTTCCAGGTGAAGGCGATGAGTTTCCGATGACTCCGGCAGGACAAGCTAGCATTCGGTGAAGATCTGTTGCTGTGTGATGAATGACTTGATGAACTCACGAGGCAAGCATCGCACCAAGACACGAGGCGTTGATAAATAGCAAATCTATGAGTGTGGTAGGAGTCTTGCCTGCCTTGACTCGTTTCCATTGTTGCTAACGGAAATGTTAAAGTTAAACAACTAGTACATTGAAGCGTGTAAGAACACTGTACCACAGCCAATCTATAGCGTCGAACAATGGTCGCTAAAACATAATATTAACGACCAACAATTGGTCGGTATACCACAACCAACATTGTAGAAATAGACAAACGATTTACCATGGTCAGGTAACAATGCTATCTTTGTGGTGTTTACTACAAATGTAAGCTATTCCCCAAACAAACATTGGATCTGCACACATTAAGAATAATACCTGATATATGGTCATTGCTGCCAGCTCTATCACAAAGCATACTGAAGCCCACTGCATCACCAAATCTATAAATAACCCAGAAAAAATATGGATGAAATGCTAGCGGATTTACCTGAACCATGTATCCAGTCATTTTTAATATTTAGTTTGCAACTCTGAACACCTACAGAAACATCAGTACATGAACAAAAGCTGTAATTAAGATAAGAACTTATTACGACATTGCTGTAGTGAACAGGTACAATATTTAATCCATTAGCAATCTCACCATAATAAATCTACTCTGTACATTTGCTTTCTGATAATCTGAAAGAGGCTTCTCAAACCTTATTATTATTCTCTGGATTTTAATATATGCGATGGCATCTTGATGCAGAAAAATACAAGCCATAGCTCTAGTCTTTTAAGCACAATTCTTTAAAATTATTGTGGCGGCAATAGTAGGAGAATCACCTGGATTTTAGGAGGACAAATGATTAAGGAGAATCACCTGAAACTGAAGATCCATAGAAATACAGTGCTAATTAGTTACAAACCGGTAATGGTAGCAGGGAGAGTACAGAAACACAGCAACAGTTCACTGAGATGAACATTGCAGAGCTCTTCCTTTTTTTGTAATGTTTCGGATGAAGTAAGGGGTTGCAGATACATTGTGGCTGATAGATAGAACATGAACATATATCTTGTTCAATTTGTGTAGATTGCTGAATATATATTCTAGCATGCTTATGCTCACTTAACTCTTTACCAATATGTGCTTCTAATTTGGTTCATGGTGGCACCACAATAGTAGATTAATAACAGTACATAAGAAAACAGTTCCTGAACTTTGTACTGATACGTGCTGATATCTATAATTGGAACTGATTTGTTAATTTACCCTACAAGTGATTTGGATAGCTACATGTATTAACCAGATACTTTCTTGCCTTTTTTAGATCTATATATGATGAACATCATCAAAAACATATATCTTGGCTGATTAAGCCGGGGTTAATCCCTAAATAAAATTCTAAAACATGCTTTTGGCCTGAATAATAAAAACAAATGACAGAGCTTGTATGCATCCCAACGACTTATAGTGGTTCGACATCATTAGCTGTTTGTGAATTGCGATTAGATGCGCTCGTTAGTGCATAGCAGTAGAAACAGATCAGATCAGATCGAGGCACGCAAGCAGTATAGGCTAGTAGCATGATTAGATCGAAAAAAATAGAGGAGGTAAGCCCGACATATACGTTACGGGTTTAGGCGTCTTGCAGAGGTCATCGTCGTTCAGCCTGACGAGGTCGTCGCAGGACTCCATGGCGCGCTCGAGGTCCCGCTCGTAAGCCGGCACTCCTTGCTGCTCTTGTCGGAGAGGTCGGCGCATGCGGCGGCCACGGCCTCCTTTTCCTCGACGCTCTCGACGCAGCGGCGGAGGCCGGCGTTCGCGTTCATAACGGCTTCGGCTGGGCAAGGAGAGGAAATGAATGCGAATCAATAGCGAACGGGAGGAGAGCAGAGAGAGTCCTTGTGACTCGTGTACCTTGAGGAGGTCGATGTGGCGATGGGCTGCGCGCGGAGGTCTCGAGCGGCCTCCGGCGAGATGCGATCCGATGGTCGGCGCGCCCGGTGGCGGCGGCGCACTGCGCCTGAAGGGGACGGGAGGGCGGCGCGCGGCTCGGGCGGGCGGGCGGCGCGGGCATGTGGGCAGGCGTGGCGCGGGGGGGCGGGGCGGGCCGGCGTGGGTGCGGATGGCTGGCTGGCTGTCTGAGGCTTGGACTGCCCGGCCGGCCGAAATCGGCTAAGTGCCCCACCCGCGCCCTTTGCCGAGCGCCGGATCAGGGAGGCACTCGCCAAAGGAGGCAACTTTGCCGAGTGCTCCGATCCGCCGTCGGTAAATTTTTTATTTTTTAATTCCTTTGCCGAAAGTGCCTCAGTAAAGGCACTCGCAAAAAAAAAATTCTATAAAAAATAAAAATCCTCTTTGCCGAAAGTGTCTTATTTTTACACCTCGGCAAAGAGCCTCTTTGCCGAAGTGCCATTTTTGACACTCGGCGGCAAAGTATTTTTATTTTTTTTGTTTTTGGCCTCTAAGTTTTTGTGCAGCCCTTTTAAAGGACCAGGAACTCCTCCTTAGAATTTGGGGACTTTTGTGGCTTTTTGATATATTTAGTTACTTTATTTCGTTTACTTGAATTTTTTGAAAAATATAAATTTGAAGCACTTTTAGATACGAATAATAGAATTTAATGATTCAAAAATGATAGTCATATTCTTTATCGAGTGTAGTGTGAGGCCGTATCTAGGATCGGATTCGAAATTTCGGACATCTTGTTCACGAAATATGACCCATGAACTTGCGTGCGAAGTGTTTTTAAATTCTATAAAAACAAGCGAAGTCCGAAAATCATGAAACTTCGTTGAGATGTCGTGATATCGTATGTGGAGGCTATGATAAAAATTTCAGAAGATTTCGTGCACGTTGTCACGTATGATGCTTACAAACTAGGACATCTCCATATGTGATATCAGATCTTACATGTAGAGATGTCTGGTTTGTAAGCATCGACGTGACAACGCATACGAAATCTTCTGAAATTTTTATCATAGCCTCCACATATGATATCACGACATCTCAACAAGTTTCATGATTTTCGGACATTCGTTTGCTTTTTATAGGATTTAAAAACACCTTCACGCGCAATTTCGCGGACATGTTTCGTGAACAAGATGTCCGAAATTTCGGATCTGTTCCTGGATACGGCCTCTCACAACACTCACTAACATGACTATCAATTTTTGAATCATTAAATTCTATTATTCAGATTACTACGTGCAGTTCAAATTTCTATTTTTTGAAAAAATTCAAGTAAACAAAATAAAGTAACTAAATATATCAAAAAACCACAAAAAATCCTCAAATTGTAACTAGGAGTTCCTGTGCTTTAAAAGGGCTGCACAAAAAAATTGGAGGCCAAAAACAAAAAAACAAAAAAAACTTTGCCGAGTGCCGGGGCATGGCACTCGGCAAAGGGTATCTTTGCCGAGTGCCAGGCATAAGGCACTCGGCAAAGAGGGTTTTAATTTTTTTAAAAAAATTCCCTCTTTGCCAAGTGCATCCACAGGTGCACTCGGCAAAGAAATTATAAAAAAAAATTAAATATTTGCCGAGTGCCGTGCCAGGGGCACTCGGCAAAGTATTTTTTTTTTAAAAAAAATTCTTTGCCGAGTGCCAGATCTGGGGCACTCGGCAAAGAATTTTTTAAAAAAATCAAATCTTTGCCGAGTGTCTAATCAGCAGGCACTTTCGGCAAAGAAGGCCGTGACCGAACACCGTTTCGCGGGCAGCCTATGCCGAGTGTCTGATTTTGTCGAGAGTCGACACTCGGCAAAGAAGTCCTTGCCGAGTGCCCTTCTTTGCGAGTGCGGCACTTCTTCTTTGCCGAGTGCAATTCTTTGCCGAGTGCAGCACTCGGCAAAGAAGGTCTTTGCCGAGTGCCCGATTTTTGACACTCGGCAAAGAATTTTGCACTCGGCAAAGTCTCTGTTTCCAGTAGTGATATCGGTGACCAAGATCTTCTCTTATCTTAGTGTTTATGGAGTGCAGAGGAGGAAGCGGTTCCTATTAGATGTTATGCCCCCTAGTGCGTCTATTTTAGCAGAAAGCAAGTCATACAAACAATTAATAGCACTACTTGAGAAATTTCATGAATAAATAGAATACTATCATAAATCATGAATACTACGACAAGGTGCACTACAAATAAATGAAAGTACTGAATAACTTTTTGTTGACATGAGTGTGAGTATATCACTTTTTTTTTATTCCTTTTCTTGTTCTTCTAATGTGCTTCGGCTAAGGACTCATCTAAATAACTCCTCATGTAACTTCTATCAGCAATCAAAAAAGTATGTTTCATTAGACAATAGCGCTGGTTGAAAGAAATACTCACCCTATCAGTATGCCCAGTACTTCTTTTGCGAGCGAAGGCTCTCCAGTCCTGCACGTTGTAACCAGAAAGATTCTTCCATTGGGGAACCTCAACCTCTTTGTTCCGCTGTTCCATAGCAACCTCTTCTTGTGCATGTAGTACAGGAGGAGGTATTTCATCAACCGGGACATCAGATGAACTCATGTCAGAGATGGTTGCATCTGAATCAACTTGGGGAACCTCAACCTCTTTGTTCTGTTGTTCCATTGCAACCTCTTCTACTTGTGCATCTAGTATAGGAGGAGGTATTTCATCAACAGGGACATCAGATGAACTCATGTCAGAGATGGTCACATCTGAATCAACTTCTGCTGAATTTGAAGCCATGGAGTCACTAGCACTACTACAGAGAACTTATCCCGTGCGTGCAAAACAGATTTCCCGAGGCGTGCAACAGGTCCGCCTGCATGGAAAGGTCTACATTAATCAAGATAACGTAGGCAACCGCAAATGACCACCTGGGTTAATCAAAATAACAGAGGTGGGCAGAAATGCACGCCTGCATAAATAATTTCACAAATTAAAAAAAAGCCCACCCAGTCTAGTGGCCCACTAAGCCCGGTGCCTGGATCTGCGCCCCAGCGTGCACCGCCGGGAGCCACCACCCAACCTTGCGCCACCGGTGGCCAGATCCACTCGCTCGTGGCCGAATCCGCCCTTGCACCCGCCCTTGCACCGCCCTTGCACCCTTGTGCTGGGAGCTTGCTCTGGTGACGGGATCTGCTCGCTCGTGGCTAGAAATGCCACCCGGCCTTGCACCGTCGGCTCTGATGACAGGACCTGCTTCCGCGTGGTTGGACCCTCCCTTTGCGCCTGCCCTTCCGCCACCCTTGCACACTTGTGCTGGGAGCTTGCTGGTGATGACCAGATCCGCTCGCTCGTGGCTAGAAACGACACCCGCTCTTGTGCCGCCGGCACTGGTGACCGGATCTGCTCGTTTGTGGCCGGATCCACGGGCCCGAAGCCACCGATGGCCGGATCCGCTTGTTGGTGTCAGATCCACACCCCCGCCACTACTGGTGACCAGATCCACGGCCCCACCACCTCCAGTGAGCGGTTGGTGGCTGCATCCACCGCCGGTGGTCGGTTGGAGGCTGGATCCACGCTGGGAGCTGCTCGGGCTCGGGCTCGGAAGCCGTGCCGCTCGCACTCGGACGTCTTCGCCACTCGGGTTTTGGGGGAGAGGGAGAGGGAGAGGAGAGGGAGAGGCACCGCGCACCACACAGGGGAGAGGGAGGGGCGCCACGCCCTGCCTGCTGGCTGTGGGGGAGAGGGAGAGGGAGGGGGCGCCGCACTCAGGAGAGAGAGAGAGAGAGAGAGAGAGAGAGAGAGAGAGAGAGAGAGAGAGAGAGGAAAACCCTAGCTGCTGCTTTTATACAAGCCCGATAGAAGCCTAACTGGGGCTTTGGCTGGGCCTCGACCACGATTAACAGAGGAGGGCCTCATAAGAGGTCTACCTCCAAAAATGACCTCCGTTTTCCGAGGTGGATCTCATGAAATGTCCGCCTACTTAAATTGATTTAAGGAGGCCTCCGTAAAAGGATTTTTGGTGACGAGCAGCGTAAATAAAACATCTGCCTCCGTAAATCCATTTTGTGAGACCCGAAATTGTGACCGCCTCATCATTTTTGTAGTAGTGTCAGTTGGCTGGGTGGATATCTCTAAATAAATGCATACTTATTTGTGTTTGTGATCTGTAGAGATCGTCACTAGCTAGGGATACATCCAATGTTGTGCTATTTAATGCTTGCCAAGTAAAAAGATCTGCCAGTTTTGCCCATTGTTTTTAGGAAGGAGGGGCAACTGTTTTTGGCATGGAGAATTTCCATGTGATCTGTTTAGTGTTTCCCTTAAAAAATATTTTTTAGCTAAGTTTCTAAAATAGAACAATTTTAGTGTACCGAATGTGCCCAAGCCATCTTTGTTGGAATTTCTCATGAACATTTTACATTGTATGTGCTAGAGATCGACCGAGCATCATGCTTCATTCTGCCTTAGGCAGAACACTTCTAAAAATTGTGGTAATGTCTTAGGATAACAATTTTTTTGAGGTAGTATATACTACAATTAGGGGGCCTATATATATTCCGTATCCGTTAGCCGTGAAGCATACACATGTCTAGTCTAACTTCATCTCGAGTTATAAGCACATGAGTTTATTTTTCACAAAATGCTTGACTTCTTAAATTGGTAGAGTTGATCTGAAGTAAATTTGCAAACTCTAAGGAAAAAATAAGGGTCCATTTGAACATGTCATGATAAAATCGATGTTTTGGAGAAATGCAACTAGCTCTTGCCTAATAGAATTAGTGCCAATACAATTCTCGCACTGTCCCAAATATGCAACTTCGTATTCCCACGGGCTACTTGGTCCTACAAACAGGCATACTTTCATGTTCAGAAAAAAGTGCATCGTGAGCTGGATGTGCATTTGCTAGCTCATGAATTGCAAATTTATATATTAGCCTAACATTTTATTTTTATCACTATTTAATAGGATATAATTTTATGTCAATTTAGTGCTGAAGTGGCGCACCCCCCTTGTTTGAGCTCTAGCTCTACCCCTGGGGGTACTCGCAGGCGATGACGACGGTGATGGGCTCCCCACAGCAGTGCTTCCCACGGAATGGTCACTGTGGCATGCCACACCGCCGAGGACCTGCTTCCCGGCCACTCCAAATCGGCATCACTGGTGTACCTCATCGACGAGGAGCTCCAGCAAGCCCGCGCGCCGCTGCTGGGTCCAGTGACCCAACAAGCCAATGGTCGCATCACTCACAGCAACAATAGCTCGGCGTCCAGCAGAGGAGTGTGGGCAACCGTCATCATCATCCATCGACCATCCGGAGAAGGCGGCGGCCGTCGTCAAGGCACAGGCACGCGATGCCAACGAGGCCCTCGAGGAGCATGTTGTAGTGTGCAGCGTTCGGGCATGGGCAGAGGCATGTGAAGTGCCTCCTTGCCTTCTCAACCATCCCAAACCTGCAATATGGTTGTCAGTCATTGTGCAACCGAGAAAAGCATCCGTTTTCGACAGTTCTAAAATGATCACAGACTACCCCTACACTACATAGCAGTGCTACCGGCATAAAAAACTGAAATCCCACTCCAGCAACTGACCACAGAGAACTGCATCCCTATAACCTAGTCTGTAGAAAGGAAAAAATTGTCAGATAACAATTCCAAGCCTAAACTCTTAACATGTACAGCCTGAGCATGTACCATGATGTGTGGGTAGCAACATTTTGAGCCTATATTGATTAGTTCTGATGAAAAATTTAAATGACAAATAGATATATAAAGTTCCTCCTATGGATATGAATGCCAACGTTTGCTAGTTTGCACTTATACTACTAATCACTATTTAGCCTCCACCTTGTGATTGCCACCTGCCAAGATGTGATTTACTATTAATGGGTATTTCAATTACTGGTTGCCTCATGGCCAAAATTCAAAGAGAAAAAACTGATTATTTTGTGATGCCCAATGCCTGTAGCACCTCTTCCACATAAACTATAAAGTGTATTGTCTCATGAAATGGTCTATATATATATGCTTTTCACTGTAAAGTTTTGTTTGTTTGTGAAGAACTCAACTAAAAAAGAAGCTATACAAAATTTAGTGCCCCTTGTCTTTCTTTATAATTTCTGGAAGGGTGTCCCAACTTTACCTTCCTTCTTGGAAAGCTCATATGCTACAATAGCAAAAACTGTTCCTCAGTGAGCAAAATGCCCAAAGTACTAGGTTTCATCCCACGAGGCCACAAGATAACAATTTAAATTTAGTGATAATGTAATGGACTATACACAGTTAAATGTACATGAGACCAGATCTAATTCAAACAAATTTGTTCCTGCTATATAACTTTACACTCTTGGTTTAACTATATCATACTCAAAACTCAAACTCACATTCGTCACTGTCACACAAATTGGAAGTACCCGTTGTTAAACACTGAACTCCGCTGATGAGATAACGGAGGTCACTGCCATGGCGTACTGGAATATGACGTTGATGCTGGCATGCCACTAATCAATGTCGAATGGGGTCAACGTTGCTAGCGCATGGATCTTGGTGTCATGACGGCAGCCTACTTCCAGGCCTGGCGTGAGGATAGACAACGAGGGAGTGACCTCTATTACTCATACGTGGCGGTGGTGTCGGTGCCCACCCAAACGCAAGATGCCCAAGTTCTTCAGTGCAGAATCAAGGGAGAACAGCCACTAAGCGGCAGGGGCAGCAACGCTTAATAAGGCCTGGTGGTGGCGGGGCCGAATGCGGCGGCACGCACCCTTTTGACTACAGGAAGGCAGGTCGCATAGGGACAACGTCAGAGGGTTCTGCCTAGTTTGAGAGGGCACAACCTCAATTACCAAGATACCCTCTATGATAAGAATTATATTTTGTAAACAATCTTCCTCAATTATTTATCTAGAAAATAGAAAAAATAAAAGTACCTCGAGGTACCAATGGTACTTTCCCAACCATCGTAAAAGAGCTATGTTTTTTTTGTGAGGCAGAGGTGATGTAGATAGAAATATCTATTATCCTTGATACCAGCTTCTGATACAGGTATTTTGGATAGCTTGAAACCGATGATCTAGTTTATATATGAATACAAGTTGCATATAAAGGGTTGCTTCAAACTGACCGTCTAGCTTATATAACTAATAGGACCGATGACGATTATTTAAATCCAATAAAATAGATTTTTCTCAACCATAGTAACATAAGTTCCACAATATAGTACTAAAAAGTGTTGTAAATCCGACAGAACAAATATTTCTCAAACATAAGTTCCACCATATAGTACTAAAAAGTGTTTACAATGAAACACATTATTACAACCAGTTTAGGGATCACAAACATACAAAGATTGTTCCTCCATAGCAAGCATCAAGTGTTTGGTGCTATTGTTGAGCTTATTCTCACAGAAAGCATGGCAATGCATGGTGACCAAATACCTTTATTTATTCTCCAGAAAGTTGATATTAAGAATCTAAGGAAAACCAGGAGCCATCTCTTCATCATCCATTGGACGACTCAGGCCAAGCGAACATTTTGGTCTAGCATGGTTGGCAGATGCTCTTCTTCCAGCAGATTTACTTGTTCCTGTATACCCAATATGTTATGTAAACCCTAACTCGAATAAAAACTTTCTACACGTAATTTGAAAACATATTTGATCTGTTTAGATGAAGGGCATACCGGCATCTTGAGCATCCATACCAGCTATCTTCTGCATAGACCAAATGAAAAAATCGATATATTTCTTTATGGACAAAATGTAGGACATCAAATTAAAAAGGTACTCTAAAAAAAAAGTTGCATAGAAAACCTAGAAGACCAGGAAATGTTAACCTTCAAAGTATTCATGGCAATGAATTTTCAGAAAATGTGGCAAGTTATATATTTTTGAGGTATGATTTTCTCAAGTAGTGCTGTTACCTTCTTTTGTAATTTTCTTCCTTTAAATATGCCATTTTCGATTCCTTCAGATTCCACAAACAGTTCAACTTCACCTTTGGAACGGAACTGGTGGCGGTAGTCCTTATGAATGTAAGTCTATACAAAAAAGATGTACTTGAGGATCAGTATCATATTTCACACAATGAGTCCGCATGTCTAGAAAACATACCCATATCCGATTAGAAGAATATTATCACATTTACAATATATATGTAGGAACCATTCAGTCTACAAAAATTTTCTGTAAACAAGGTCACAGTAACAAACGACATGCTTGGAATATGCTGTGAAACTACGTTGATGCAAAACACACAGGGGCCCATCTTAGACATCCATGAATAAATTTGGAAGGTTAATAGGTATGATTTATCCACATAAGGTTCTTATTAGAATTTCATAAACCGTTCCACCATGCCGACTGGGATGCTAGACCAGCTGGTCAAGCACTCCGGGTGGCACCCTTGCATCCTAGGTTCCATCCCCCACTGGGTCAAATTGCAGCGCCGGAGCTAAGGTTTGGGGTTTTTCTTGGACTGAGTGAGAAGTCATCTACTTTAATACGAATGCTCGGGGGCGCATGCTACCCCCCACAGTCCTGAGTTTTTTTTAAACCATTCCACCATTAATAAGTAATCAGAAAATATTGGATTATGAGCGCAAAGAGTATAATTGGCTCATCATGTACGGAAACATACAACTAGCAGAGTACAATGGGCCACCATATTCACAACATATGTTACTCCATATGATGAAAGAACATTCTTATTTTTACACTTGGTACATGTACATGATGTCTCCAGATTTGTTTGTCTTTGAACTTCAATTTTGTTACATACATGTGAACAAGTGAACAGTTTTGTGAAAATGACTCATACAAAATTTAAATAACATCGACATAAAATTAAAATCCAAACATTTTTCAACAACTAATAGATCTTGTCATGAAAGATAAAATCAAATGCACAGCTATAATTTAGTGTATGTTTTCCCATTAATACTGTGGTATTTCAGGGAACATGACATTATAAATCAATTGCTAATAAAGAAATTCAATACAGATTTGTAGGCTTGTTATCAGAACTCGAGACACAATAATAACTTCAGGCTAACAATATTTCTTGCTCCGAACCATCCCTGTACATTTGGCAAAGGTCACTTGATCAAATTATTTATGGGATGTGGCTAATGGCCTCTCCCTTCCTATCACTTTCTCCCTCTCACCAACAATAGATAAGAAAAAATCTGTTCAGCCCGAGGCAGAAGAATTGGTAGTACCCCATCATGGCTCTGCAGCTATAGAATAATGTTCATGGTCTAGCCAGCACTAGGCAAAGGCAGCACAATCAAAGGTAGACAACAACATCAGTGACCAAGATCTTCTCTTATCTTAGTGTTTATGTAGTGCAAAGGAGGAAGCTAGATCCTATTAGATGCTATGACCCCTAGTGCGTGTATTTTAGCAAAAAGCAAGTCATATACAAACATCATAGCACTACATGAGAAAATGTCTTGAATAAATAGAATACTATCATAAATCATGAATACTACAACAAGGTGCACTAGAAATGGCAGTTTCGAATAACTTATTGTTGACATGAGTGTAAGTATGTTTCATTAGACAATAGTGCTGATTGAAAGAAGTACTCACCCTATCAATATGCCCATTAAATCTTTTGCGAGCAAAGGCTCTCTAGTCCTGAGCTTGGTAACCTTTTTAGATCCTTCAACCATTTGGGAACGTCAACCTCTTTGTTCCGTTGTTCCATTGCAACCTCTTCTTCTTGTGCATCTAGCACAGGAGGAGGTATTTCGTCAACCAGGACACCAGATGAACTCAGGTCAGAGATGGTCGCATCTGAATCAACTTCAACTGAATTTGAAGCCATGGAGTCACTAGCACTACTAGAGAGAACTTATCCCAGGCGAGCAAAACAGATCCCGGGGCAGGCAACAAGTCCGCCTGCATGAAAGGTCTACATTAATCAAAATAACGTAGGCAGGCGCAAATGACTGCCTGGGTTAATCAAAATAACATAGGCCAACAGAAATGCACGCCTGCGTAAATAATTTCATGAATTAAAAAAAGCCCACTGAGTCTAGTGGCCCACCAATCCCGGTACCTGGATCCACCCCAGCGAGCACCGCCGGGAGCCGCCATGTCACACCCAATTTTAAGGATAAAATAGGATGCATAAATATTATGTGCGTCCAGAGATCAGTCATACACATAAGCTAACAAATTACAAAGTATCATCACAAGTGTTCATTACATCACGAATAATAACTCCTTACAAAAGAATCAAGTCTATAATAAAAGCAGAAGAACTAGATAACTAGTCTCCACGAGAGCCTCCAAACTCCATAAGGAACGTCGACCGGTGAACCACAAGTCTAGTAATCCTCAGGAAAGTGCTCATAACCATTGCCATCTGTTATCCATCCGGGATTTTTATCCAAATAATTAAAATAAACAAGCATAAGTACATCTCGTAGTTAACAAGAATAACATGGGGTTATGAAGCTCAAAAGGCCGACACTGGTTGTACCGCGGTTAGCATTTTTATTAAGTCACAAATTTTAACACTATATTAGCATTTAGTTGTGCTTAAGCCCCAATTATACCACATGATCATATAAAACAACAATTTATCTCACAATTAATTAACAACAATAATAGTTCTCTATTATGTGTTTTTCGGGACGCTTGTGTCTGTGAGCACGACTGATATACCAGTTCTACATTCTGCAAAGGTTGTATACTTTCACAGCGAGCCGTGATTTACCCTTTCGCCTGAGGTAGCTAATCTCTTGACCCACTACCAAGAAAGGTCAGCAGGGTTCACTATAAAGCCTTTCAAAGATTTCCCTGACAAGTTAGTAGCCGCTAGGTTTCCCCGGCAAGGGAATATGGAGCCCCCTTTCGAATGGCACATTCCGCGCAGGCTATACACATATTGACAGAGGCCATACTATACTCAGCTCGGCAGGCCCCTTTTGCACCCTTTCGGGTAATCACTAACAAGCTAGAAAAAGGTCATACTACTGAGCTAAAGCCAAAGCCATGTGACACTCTCGGTTGTACTGTATGTCCTAGCTTTTGCCCACAGATAAGTCCTTAGGGAGGGCCAAGAGCATCATGATAAAACAAGAGCTCTGTCCCCTATGTTCAAGTTGCTAAAAAGCCAGTTTTAACATTTGTTGCTTATAAACCATTAGTCATTGTTCAGATCATGTATAATTAAACTGAGCGCTAGCAAACTACCCATATGCAAGTATAACCCATCGGTAACAAGGAACAAGACAACAATAACTAGGATGTCCTTACGGGTAACACATTAGACACATGCATATGACTAATTAATTAAATGGTGAATAGGAGAACAAGGAGATCCCACGCTATACTTGCCTTGATCAACGAACTCCTGCTGGTCCTGCTAGTCGTTAAAGTATTGGCCTTGATCACCGTCGTAATGCTCACCGTCTATACTCGATCGTCAATAAAGCAACACACATACATCCACGCAATCATGCACAAGCAAACAAGAGCTATGATTAGAACAGAGGAAAAACATGTTTAAAAAACTTATTAAATTATTCTACATGTCGCTACGAACACACAGACGCGAAAATCCCCGAAATCGGATTTAAAATGGTAAAGGTACGATGAAAATGGGCTCTGGATGGCAATTTCGTAATTACCGCAAACTATTTTCGAATAAAAATAAATCTAAAACAGGATTTCAATTCTGGCCGAGGACCGCCGGTTCAAAATAGAGGAAATGGAGGGACTCTTAAGAAAAACAGCCATGACGAAGGGGTATGGCCAAATCTGGGCTGTTGGATCGAGGATGGATGACCAGATTAGATCGGAGGGGAAGAGAGAGATGGCAGGCGGCCGGAACAGTGGCCAGGCATGGCGGCCAGCCATGGCCGGCTGTGAGACTTCGCCGACGAGCACAGATTAAGGCCGGACGGGCCACGGAGAAACGAACCGAGGGCATGGGAAGCAAGAGCGGGAAACGACGCGCAGCGGACCTCCATGGCCGGCGGCGACGTAGCTCGCCGGCGCGCAAGAATACGGACCTAGAGACCACGATTCGACTCGGGAATGGCACGGTACAAAAGAGGGGATGAATACGAACTCACCACGAGAAAAAACGAGGGAGGATATGGATCGGAGGGGGCGAGCGGCTAGAAATGGCGGACGACAGGAACCTGTAAACGTCGGCGACGCGACATGAGAAACAGAGGGCGAAAAACGGAAAGCGAAAGGCATTCTCGGCCTCGTCACCTTGACGCTGACCTTGGCAACGAGTTGCAGATGACGGAGCAGTGACGGCCGGCGGAAACGGCTGCGGCAGCTCCGGTTAGGGTTCGCAGCGGCGCTGCGAGCTCAGGGGAAGGGCGGCGCTGCTCGTAGATTGGAAAAGAGAGTGCTGAGGGAGGGCGGTGGCTTATATAGAGCGGCTTGGCGCAGAAATTGCGCCGAAACGCTGAGAAATCGGGCGCGCTTGCGTCGTTAGGTGCCGGCTGCATCCAATCAGAGCACAGGAGGGATGTAGGGGTACACTGTAGCTGCGGGCCCCGCGCGTCAGTGAACCAGAGAGAGCGAGAAGGGAGTGTGCCTGTGCGCGGCTTGTGCTGCGGCTGCTCAGCTGGGCCGGCCCAAGAAAGCGGCGCGCGCGGCCTGCGGAGAAAGGGCAACTGGGGGCAGTCTGGGCCAAAAGCCGAGAGGGTGAAAAGGGAATAGAATTTTCCTTTTTCTTTTTATTTTAGAGCTTTTCAATTCCAATTCCAAAAGCATTTGAAAACCTTTTTCTGATTGGGTCAAAACTATACATCACAAAAATAAAAAGTGTAGCAGCATGAATGCATCAACATGTATCTATCCTTATAGTTGATTTTAATTTCATAAAAATTATTATTTCCCTAAGTTTGAAGGCTCACATAATTGCATAATTAAATCAATTTCACCTATTTCAAAAGAATGCAAACTTTAGGGTGTTAAACGCCACCCACCCTTGCACCGCAGGTGGCAAGATCCTGGTCACTCGTGGCCGCCCTTGCGCCAGCCCTTCCACCGCCCTTGCACCCTTGTGCTGGGAGCTTGCTCTGGTAATCGGATCCGCTCGCTCATGGCTAGAAACGCCACCCGCCCTTGCACCGCTGACTTTGGTGACCGGATCCGCTTGCTCATGGCCGGATCCTCCCTTGCGCCGCCCTTGAATCCTTGCACCTGGAGATTACTGGTAACCAGATCTGCTCCCTCGTGGCTAGAAACGCCACTAGCCCTTCCACCGCCGGCTCTGGTGACTGGATCCACTCGCTTGTGGCTAGATCCACGCGCCCGCAGCCGCCCATGGCTGGATCCGCTTGTTGGGGTCGGATTCGCGCCCCCGCCGCTGCTGGTGACCAGATCCACTCCCCACCACCTTCGATGAGCGGTTGGTTGCTGGATCTGCCACCGGTGGTCGGTTGGAGGGTAGATCCACGCTGGGAGCTGCTCAGGCTCGAGTGCGAAAGCCGCCCCGCTCACACTTGGATGTCTCTACCACTAGGGCTCGGCTTTGGGGGAGAGAGAGGGGGAGAGGCACTGCGCCCTGCCTACCGATTGAGGGGGAGAGGGAGAGATGGATAGCTCGAGAGAGAGAGAGAGACTAAGAGGAAAACCCTAATAACTGTTGCTTCTTGCTCTGCTGACCAGATCCGCTCGCTCGTGGCTAGAAACGCCACCGGCCCTTGCACCGCCGGCTTTGGTGACCGGATACGCTCACTTGTGGCCAGATCCGCCCTTACGCCTACCCTTGCACCCTTTGTGCTGGGAGCTTGCTCTGGTGATCGGATCCGCTGGCCTATGGCTAGAAACACCACCTGTCCTTGTGCTGCCGGCTCTGGTGACCGGATCTACTCGCTCGTGGCCGGATCCATGCGCCCGCAGCCGCCGATGGCTGGATCCGCTTGGTGGTGTCGGATCCTCGTCCCCGCTGTTGCTGGTGACCAGATCCATGCCCCCACCGCCATCGTTTAGCGGTTGTTGGCTGGATCCGCCGCCGGTGTCTGGTTGGAGGCTGGATCCACACCGGGAGCTGCTCGGGATCGGGCTCGGACGCCACCCCGCTCGCGCTCGGACGTCACCACCGCTCGGGCTCGGGCTGTGGGGGAGAGGGAGAGGGAGAGGCACCGTGCACCATGCTTGGGAGAGAGAGAGAGAGAGAGAGAGAGAGAGAGAGAGAGAGGAAAACACTAACGGCTGCTTATATACAAGCCCAATAGAAGCCTGATTTGGGCTTAGGCTGGGCCTCGGCCACGAGCAACAGAGGTGGGCCTCGCAAGAGGTTCCCCTACGAAAATGGCCTCCGTTTTCCGAGGCAGATCTCTTAAAATGTCCACATCCGTAAATTGATTTGACCGCCTCCGTAAATGGACTTTAGGAGATGTGCAGAATCCCACTGCCTGCGTAAATAATTAAAACGTCCGCCTCCATAAATCCATTTTGGAAGACGAGCAATTGTGACCACCTCATCATTTCTGTAGTAGTGTAGGTTGGCTGGCTGGATATCTCTAAATAAATTCATACTTATTTGTTTTGTGATCTGTGAAGATCGTCACTAGAGATACATCCAATGCTGTCCTATTTAATGTATGCCAGGTAAAAACGATCTGCTAGTTTTGCCCATTGTTTTTAGGAAGGAGGCAGCTATTTTAGGCATGTAGAATTTCCATCTGATCCTCTAGTTTTCCTCTAGTTTTTTTTTCTATGTTTCCCATAGAAAATTTAGTTTTTTTATCTTTGTTTGAATTTCTCATGAACATTGTACAATCTATGTGCTAGAGACCGAGCATCATGGTTCAATGTGCCATAGGAAAAACACTTCTAAAAATTGTG